ATACACATATGAGAAGACCTTAATCCATTACTGTCTACACGGCTCTAAATATAAATGTGCTTTAATGGAGATTACCGATCACAATTTCTTTTTTTACAAAAGTTAAAATATTGTATTTCTCAGGAGACTTATCTGCTGTCTAAGCTTACATCCATCATGGACAACACCTTCCACCTTCTGCACCAGACTGTAAAGTGTTGGAGCAGCTCCTTTAGTGAAAGACTTCTACATCCTGTTTGTAAAAAGGAGTGCTACCAGAGGTTATTCATCCCTGCTGCAACCAGACTCTATAATGCAACACTACAAAAGCAATAACTTGTGCAATATAAAATGAGCAATTTACTCTTTGATACTGTGCAATAACTGTTTCTCTATATTTGACACCTAGTGCAATAACTATATAAATACATCTAAATATCCATCTATATAAATACCCATGTAAACACCCAGTGCTTATCCCAATGATCCTAATATCATTTCTTTTTTTTTTTGTAATATGTGGACACACTGTATATACCATATATATTCAATGCACCCTTTTTTCCTTTTGGCACATTCTTCTTCTTTGTTGTGCTGAGCTAAGTCAATCAATCCCCATTTTTAGGTAAAAAAAAATGCCCTAAATTATTCATAGGTTGGTCATCCATGCATTTTTTGTCACAGTTATCCCAAGCAGGGTCACAAGGAGTGCTGGTGCCTATTTCCAGCTGTCTACAGGTGAGAGGCAGGACACACCCTGGACAGGTTGCCAGTCCATCACAGGGCAACAAACAACCATTCAGACTCACACACCTAAAGACATAGTCATGAAATAGTCATGTTTTTTGGACTAGGGGAGGAAGCTGGAGTATCCTAAAAGAACCCATGCATGCTTAGGCAGAACATGCAAACTCCATATAGGAATACCCCGGGCTCGGAGTCGCACCCAGAGCCTTCTTCATGCAAGGTGACAGGGCTACCCACTGCTCCACTGAGCAGCCCCTACATTGGTCACATTTAGGTTAAAAATCATATCTTTAAAATGTAACATATTTTTTCTAACTGTATCAATATTAATATTCAGGAGGTGCCTAACAAAGGTCCTAACATAAATCTAATAAAGAATCCATAGAGAGAGCAAAAAAAACAGTTATAGCAAAGAGTCCCTGCAAGCTCATAGACCTGGAGCTCAGTCCAACAATTAAACCTCACAATACAAGATGTAAAAAAAGAGTTCAGTTGTTCTAATGTAGAGTGAGCAAACGTCCTCTTTTGCCCGGACATGGCAACTTTTTACATCCTGTCCGGGGCATCTGGAGGGGAATTATAAATTCATGAAAATGTCCACTTTTAATTCTTTTTATAGGACCATTTTTGTATGCTTATATCAATTGGGACTTTGCACAGAATACTATGGTACTTTGAAGCATGACATAATTCTTGAGGTATTGCCTTGTGGGAGGCTCTAGCAAGACACCCCCCCGGCAGAGCAGCCAGCATTGGACACTAAATCCCCAAATTAAACTGCAAAAACAATTTTGCACATACTGTCCCAGTTGCAACAAGTGGGAGGCTAAGAGCATTGTGTGCAGGGCTGGCAGACGTTTCAGTGTCTAATAAAGTTGCTGGATATCTTAAATTTCACATGGACACTGAGTACTTTGCTAGACCTGGGAAAACACAGGGTGCTATAAATGCAGCTGAAGGTGCAATAGCATTTCATACTGTCAAACACCACAACAGCTAAAGGTCCATGGATTACACCAGTAGAATGGGGTGCCAATTGACAGTCCTAAGTGTTTAGACCATGTCGAAAATCTGAAGAGCTTCATAGATAGATGCAACAGTGAATAGTTCAGAGGCATGCAGGTGCACCAGAAGTGGACCAAATATTTTGAGAATAAAAAGTGGTGCATGTTACTCAGAACTACTAAATATTGCAGTTTGTCTTTGCATTTCTGTCTAACGATGCAAATGTTAAGAGGGTTTTTTTCACTGCTGCAGAGCCAGTGGACCAAGGAGAGGAAGCAGCTGCCGGCTAATTCACTGAAGGTGATTCTGTTAGTGCACAACAATTTTGACACTTCTTTCAAAACTCTTCTGTGAATATTTTTTGAACAACCAAAAACTGCTAGGAAAGCTCAGCTCTACAGCAAAATATGGATGACCAGACAAGGAGGATTAGGAAAAACAGCAGGATGAAGAAGAAAAGCAGGAGGTGGAAGAAATTATAAGAAAGACAACCAAAGATTAAAAATATAGATCTAAAAGTATTGGTATTTATGTATTTTGAAAGAGAGCAACAATTTTGTTACTGGTTGCTATAGATTTCATTTCACTACAGAAGTTATTTTTTTACCATTGAAGTATAATAAAGCATGTTCATTAACCCCCGAGAAGCCTGTTTAAATCAGTCTCAAGGCAGGTAAAAGTGTCATCCTTTTAAGAAATAAAAATATGGTCACCCTATTCTAAGGTCCACAAAAAGTGAACATATTTAACATGACATTATTTTTCATTGCATAAAATATATATTTTACATCTTACATTTAAAAGTCATATTTATTTTACACTTTTTTACTATATTTTCAGAGAATCCTGTCTAGTTTCCCACCGGAAATATGGTTTGAATACAAATATTACAAATAATATTATCAGATCTAAAAGTGAAAAAAGTTTTTAACATAGATCGAGAGCTAAGCTGTCGAGAGCTATATCAGGCCGCTGCTGCACCGCCATGATTGTATCAGAGCAAAAAAATAGAAATGTCCATGAATCACATCATTGTAGATTGCATTAATCACAGATTTAGTCAGCAAAGAGACATACCAGTTGCAGCCATGCATTTGTGATCAGTACTTGGTTCTTCTCATCCTAGAGGAGAAGAGAAGAGAGAGGATTGTTAGTCGGAACTTAAACTGAGTTTAAACAAAGAGTAAATCAATATGCTACAGGAAGAGAGACAAAAAAACAGAGCTGATGTGTTCGCTTAAAGACAATATTGCACTCCATCTTATACGTATAAAGCATTGCCATGTACTAAAATGCCTTATAATAAAAGGATCAGACGACAAAGCTGTATTCAAGAGGTCCTTACCAAAAGTGGCAAGAGAAGATAGAATGGTTAGATTAACTTTTTATTTTTAGGTCTGGGAGAGTATAAAAGTAAAAAAGGAACAAGTTAGATTAAAGCAGTCCAAGAGGGTCATCCTGGTGCAAGTAAAAAAATTAGAGCAAAAACAAAAGGACATTTCCCAAAAGGTATTATTGTGTTTGAAAGAAAAAATCTTTTTTCATACTGAAAACGATACTAAGGCAGCTGGCCAACGCTTTAAACCCATTTCCTTTCATGTTGATAAGATAGAATCTCTTAAAAAGTCATCAGTAGTCTCTTTTCTTATCATATATATATCTCTAATCTTGTTTTATCGAAAAATGTATCTCTCTCTTAAAACTTGGAAAGTGGTACAGTATATTGAATAACACACATAGGAATATTTATAGATCCAAAATCAAAGGTCCAATTTAGGCATGGGCTGGTTATTGGTTTCAAGGTACGCCCACTAGAAAAAAAGTCAGGCTTTCAAAACTGCTAGTTTCCCACCATCCTGTTCATGTGTTATAACCGTATCTTTATAAATCACATCAGACGGAGTGCTCAGGCTGTGAGCAGCTCCAGCACCATGACCCCTGCCATTGCACACATCTATGTAGTGGCCAGTTCAACAGGATGGATGTGCACTGCTGTGCTCTGAAATCCACTTATGTCTGCTACATGGTAATATTTTAGCTGCTAAAGAATGCGAACTAATAAGGAACTAATGGGTAGTTAACCAGTACTTAATGGGGAACACCCAAATAAGAGTACCTAATTAGGAACTAATTGGTAGTTTACAAGGAAACCCAGGAGGAAATCAATCAACTAAATGGTAGTTAACCAGTACCTATTAGAAGGCTACTGGTTCATTATGCAAAATTAAAGTAGAAATTCTCAGTGTTGGCTCTGAATAAACGCTAAAGCTGTGAAGTCACAGCTTATGAAAAACAACTTTACTGAGTATCAAATTATTGGCTAGCTATTATTTCATGCACTCTGTTATATCAATCATAATATCAATTGGTTCCTAAGGAACTAATAAATACCTAATCACCAAGTGCCAACTAATGTTTTTGTTGACCCTTTAGTAAAATCAAAATACCCCCTAGTTCCTGCTTAGGAAATCTGTGTATACCAGGGAACTAAGCAGTAGTCCCATAATAGGGCAGGGCTGGGTGTTACCCAGTAAATACTGATAAACCACCCATTAGTTCCTGATTATTTCCCTAGGTGCTCTCTAGTAGTTAAGCATATTTTGTGATCTTAATTGTAAAGAGTTACCTATGTATTTAAGCAGCTTTAAGTGAAGGGATAAAGTGCAGAATAGCTGTACCCATGTACTTTGTGTATATTTGTTGATACTTGTAATTTCTCTTGCTTTTTTTGTGCATGAAATGATCTACACAGGAAAAAAAAAAAAGACAAGTATGAAGGGACATTTAATGGGGAATGAGAGCTTGCAAGGGAGCTCAATTTTGGCATGAAACTTCTGACTTTAAGAACACTTAACACCAAAAAATAAAATGAACACTTTTTTTTTTCTTACTTTTTTTTTTTTTTTTTTTTTTTTATTACTGATGACATTTCAGGATAAAAGTTGAAAACATAATACATCATACTGTGACACGGGGATATTTTTGCTTGAAGGTATAGAGGATGATCCTATATTTCCGGGTGGATCATCTAAATACTGTAAGTGGTCCTCCTAATTGTCAATTATTCTGGTGATATGTTTACATAAGGCCGTTCTACGTGTTAGCTATCTTTTTCTGAACCTGCGCGATTTCAGTTGCATATGTGTGGTGTGCTACAGTTTGAACCAGCCATTGAAGCTCACCTTTTTCACTGTGGTTCTTTGAAAATGGCTGAGGATTGTAAGCGAAAAAGTTTGTACGAGGTATTTGAGAAGAAAAGAAAGGCCTCAGAAGAGGCAGATATTTCCTGGAATGCTTTGCACGGAGATCTCCCCTCGCAAAGCACGATGGGATTTGCTGTCACAGCAGCACATAGTCGCCATAGACTGTCGCTACCCAACCATAAAAAAGATGGCACAGGCACCGTGCAGTGGAGGAGGAGTTACCTGACGAATGGGGAGCAAAAAGCAGTGATCATCTGTCTGAATGGTCAGTTAACTGAGTTTGCTATATAGTCCACTATATAGTCCCTGCTATATGTGGACACAGTAAGCTTGTATTAGCTATGAGAACAGCACATTTTAAACAGGGCATGCACAGGGAGAGATGGGCTTGTGCATGCACTTGCACCTGCATTTTTTTTTAAGTGGAGAGGGCGGATCTTTTAAAAAATCCTCCACAATACCTTCAAGTCATATCATCAGAATTTCATCCTGGCCTATGCCTAGTTTATCTGTATTCTCCCACACAGTGAAAAACAATTTGCTCTACAAAGTTACTAATGGTTATGTCTGTCTTTATCCATGCCACTGTGTAAAAAGGTGGCTACAATCAGACAGGGCCAGTGTTAGCATGGAGGCAAGAAGAGAAAACAACAAAGAAATATTACTCAAAAAAAACACTTTAGATTTTACCTTTCATCTCACATCTATATGTCCTCTTTTTTTTTTACTGATGCAGGTTGCACCAAATGTATAAGATATAAAAATTGTATGACCTCTTCAGCTGCTGTTCTTCAAAAAGTTCCTTCCTTTACAGCCCTTTAATAAACATACAAAACTATTATGATTTAGGAAATAAAAAGGCTCTTAGTAATCCCCAACAGTGACTTTAAATATGAACCTCACTTGCTTAGCTAAATTATTAAATAATCATAAGAAGTAAATGCTCTTTCCTTGAAAAAAGCACAATTAACTCCGCTCTCACATTACTTCAAGTCTGTCCATAACTGGCTAATCAGTCAGGATGCTTCTAAATGCATAAGCTGTCAGTCTGCGGCCAAAACATTGTTCACTTAATAATTTTCATGAACAAAATTATCAAAAACCTGCTAAAATTTTGCAGTTGGTAGAAAACTAAAGAGCTTTTTTTTTTTTTTTTTCCTTTGTATCTCTAAATGAATCTCCCAGAATCCATGCCCCTCCATCTTTTCTAGGCCTCTTTACCCGCTTCCACACTCTATTCACACTTCAATCTTATCTTAAGGCCCTTTTCTCAGCTGCTAGGATACAACAGCCCCCTATTGTGTGCCTTACAAAGCAACATATTTCTGTGTTTTTTATGTGCGATATACTGTATACAACTTGACTTTGATTTAACGCCACAGAGTTTTTATTCAGTTTTGTGCTTGAAATAGAACATTTTTGTCATGATGGATTTCAGACAGCTGCTTTTTGTCTTATCAATATGTAAAACCAAACACAAACATGATATTCTTTTTCTATACCAACCCACTACTGTGTATGAGGTGGCAAGGACTTGTTGAACGTATTAATGTCTATTAGCTGATATTGTTATTAATGAATGCATTATATTTCATCATATTCCCTGCACTAAAGACCAAAAAATATGTTTTGGCTTTTCTATAGTTCCAACAGATCCAACACCACTTACACATACTTCTCAACTATCGTGTATGTAATTCCCCTAAGGCTCGTCGAGCACAAATGGATTTCTTGAACTGATTT